TCATTGTCTAATCCCTTATTTAACCACGTGATTAAAGAGAAGTGCTGTGCCAGCCACACCCACCATTCAGCTTTTCTTTAGTAAGCATCATCTTTCATTAGAGCAATTATAATCACTGTCAGTGAACTTATTGGGCTTGGAATCACAGTCTATTGTATTTGCACTTTTCTGATTCGGTTCTAGAGGAATTCTTTGCTCTAGAAAAGTCAGTTTCTATATGCTATTCTGCAAAGGTGTCTCTAGGGTTACAACAGTCATTAGTCCTGAAATGCAATCTTGAATTCCAGCACTTGGTCTGCACAACTGTTAAAGACTGTGCACTTACACTTCAGTAGCATCCTTCAACCAAGCTGCTTTATAAAGTGAAAATAAACTAGTAAAAATCAAGGAACATTCAACATCACAGCCTGAAGTGGGACAAAAACACAAGAAGCACTAAACAGCAGTTTGATATTTGAAGAAGGAAAACCAAATCCAGCTGAACACACACTGAACACACACATGGGTGGGGCGGGTAGGGGGAGTGGGGAAAAAAAAAAAAAAATCAAGAAAATAAGGCAGAATTATCCAACATCCAATTTGGCCAGGAAACAATACTCTTTGGTTTCTGGTTTCAGACAGCATAAGGGAATCATGACAAGATTGACATTGGAAAAATCGATGTTCCATTATTTGGGTTGGTGATCAAGAGCAAAACAGCTCCATAATGATTTAAAAATTAAATAGTTAACATTATCTGCACAGCCTTAGTGCTAATAGTCAGGGATCTGTTTTCCTTAGCCTGATCAGTTGACAGCTTTTGGCATTTCCTTCATTCAAATAAGCAGAGGTAAGATTTACATGCAACACCTAAGCATGACAACAGCAGACAAGACGGGGCCTTAGGAGTAGGGGGCCTTGATTTTGAGAATCTTTGTTTCTCCAGGACAGAGTTTTGTGACCGGAAGATCACCTATTTCCTGTGTGCGCAATTCTATGGCAAATCCCAGGCATGAGCCTCAAGTTGTCAGGTAAAATATTTTGCCCTTTTCCTCCCAGTGATAACTGTTTCTGCAATGATTATTTTTACTTTCAGTCTATCAGGCACTCTCTCAATGTTCTGCCAAACATGAATTTTTCCTTATAGTCCTTCCAGACTTCAAAGAAGCACCAAATACTTCCCAACTGAATTTGAGCTTACTAGCTTTTGGAGGATTTCCCTAGACTCTCCAGGAAACTAAGACATAGAAAGGAGCTGGAAGTTTTACTGTGCATCTTGCAGGAAAAGCAATCAGTTTGCTACCTGTTGTGCAAGTGATGGGAACAATACCATCTTTACCACAGTCAAAGTCCCAGGGTGGGGGAGAAGGTTCTCTTGTGCTTGTGCAGAACTGTTCTAGAGGACAAATTTCTTGCTTTCCACCAAAAGAAGAAATCAAAAGCCCCTCACCACCACCCCCACGCACTTAAATGAGTTAAGTGAGATTATTGCTTTAAATGCATACAGTTTTTTCTTTCGAAGCACTGCTTTTGACACACATAGCTCTTAAATAAAATACTGCCTGCCAACATTAGAGTAGAAACTCACCACATTTATTTTGCAAATTGGTTGTTCATTGACTACTTTTGCCTTCAGTTACAGACTGATAGTTCCTTCTGCCTGGAAAAGGCAATATGCTGAATGGATCGTCTCTTTAGTATCACTTCTATTTACATAATCTAGCCCATACTAGTGGCCCCTCTTCAGGCAGCTAGAGAGACCCTGCCTATAAGTTTGTGATCTAAACTGACTCATAGAGTCATTCATCCTAATCCCATGAATCATCCTAAATGAATCATAGAGTTGTAAGGCTATGCAATAACAATCAACCTATGTGACACCTTTAGCCTCTCATGAACATAGCACAGATGGTCTCAGCATCTCCAGGAAAAGTGTGCCTGCTGCTGATCACATGTATCCTGTATTTTTTTTCCTTCTTGAATTGTTTAATTTGGTCGGATACTGTGCAGCAGAATTGGAATCTTTAAGTCTGAGGACAGTTCAAGCAGTGGCAGGAAGGAACAAACATGCATAATTCCAATTCCCTTGTGAGAGAAGATCTATTAACCACTAAATAACAAAATGGTTCTAATTACAACAGAAGCTGCCTGACTTGTGAGTTCAGCTACCTGCTAACTACAAAATTCAGTTTGATACATTGTAGTAAACCTTCATGCTCTATTCATTCTGATTTTCTATGGACTGGCTACTCATGAGTGGGGGGGGGGGGGGGGGGGGGGGGGAGGGGGGGGGGAGTGGTCATGTCAGTGCATCACCCAGCTGCAAACGATTACTTCAGTTCTAAGTTCCCCACAAAAGCTGGAACTCTAGCTTCTAAAAACATGGGCACTGTGAGTCTGTAGACATCATGGGATGATATTATAAGGTGGGCAGTATGAGTGTGCCGAACACAGGAAAGGGCAGCTAAACGTGCAAATAATGAAAGTGTGTGTATAAATCACCAGACAACGTTCACTGTATCAAACCTAAAAGTTGTTACTCAGTTTTCCCACATAAAGTTTTACAAATACTTTTCAGAAAGTGTGAAAAAATACAATTTCCTATTTAAGTAAGACTGACCAGACAGATTTTGCACAAGTTTTTTCAATGACTCATATGTCAGCTGACATAGATTATAAGAAATTTTAACCATAAATATAGTTCAATATAAACATAAGACAGTAAAAGTAGAGGCTTAGGTTGAAATCATTCTGAATCAGAACAGCTATATGTAACCAGCTAAGGTGAAGAACTGAAGGTGACAAGAAGGTGAAGAGAAAGAACTTTGTCAAAGGTCCCTTGCTCTCCATTACTTTCCTAACCATATAAAAATCAGAAGAGACAGGAAAGGCAGAGGAAATTTTGGTGCCTTAGAAATAAGTTTGGGTGATAAGTAACATGAGGAAGGCAGTATCTAATGGGAAAGTGCTGTTCTAAACTGGGATTGTTTACTGACTAATGATGGAAGTCCCGTTTTCTCAACCAAAGGAGACAAGAGTTCCCAACATTCTCGTTCAAAGTTCACTCCGAAAGCAGATTGCTGGAGCCAAAAACAACAAGCTTCGCAAAAGCTATTGTTAGTCTGAAAGCTACAGTGAAGCAAACAACCTTTCTGAGATGTCTGACTGAAGCAAATTAACAGACAAGCAAAACCAGAACAGTTATATGCATGTTGAAAATGCTGCCTAATGCGCTTCTCTTGTCGAGTAATTTGCTAACACCAGGATTATAATTATTGAACACAACTCTGTCACTGAACTGTAAAAACTGGGCAAAAAAACACCAAATGCAGCTATTTTTTGCTATATAACTGCTAGCAGCTAGCTGATGTGGAAAAGTCATCTACAGCAGACTACCACCTTCTTGCTTTGCTCCTAGGATTCTTGCCATATAAGTATACTCAACTATATAATATAGCTCACTAAGTATTGAAGCTACTGTTACAATCAATGACTAAGATAAGGGCTGATGCGAAGAAAAGTTGTTTTGTTTACTTGCCCTTGACAACCTTCTGTTTAAATTATTTTCACGCTTTTTCCTTGTTGCTGCTGTAAGAGAGTCCCACAAAAGATGGAGAACTTTGGAGAGAAAGTTCTGAAAAACGTTAATGGCCTTCTGCTGGGTTCCTAGTTAAATCAGTTACACTGTGATAACAAGTTCCAGAGCCAGCACAAGGAAAAGAGTGGCACTATCAAAAGCATAACCAGCCATTCCAGCATGAACAGATTGCTGTATCAGCTCAGATGTACTGACAAATGGCATTCTCAGAACAAGATAGCCTTTCCAAGGTGAATTTTCAGGGATAATAATTTATCCCAGGGGTGAAAACAGGCCATCCATAGCTATTCAGAAAACCACTTTGTGACTTGGGCTGGGTATTTAAAGATGTTATCTCACCTAGCAACATTGGAGGAGGGGCCTGACTACAGAACATACTTTATATTAGTTTTTATGAAATATAAAGAGATATATCCAAAGGAGGATCCAGAATCAAGGAAAAACTGAGGCAGAGAAACTGAGATAGATATTTCCATCATTTTCCTCAGATCTGAAGATTTATTGTGCTGGCTAAAAGGGACAGTGATTTTTTTTTTTGATACTGCAAAAAACACGCGTGTTTGTTATTTCAGGGATTATCCCTCCATGTAGATGGTAAACCGAAGATCCTAGGTATTCAGTGTAATTAGTGTGGGAAAGCATGCCTTTCATTCAGCCTTTAAGATTTTAGGGTCCAGCATTACAGTTAGAGCACCTGGCTGAGGGAGACAAGAGAATTTTGTGCCCAGAAACAGTGTCAAAGAGACCAAGAAATAATACTACAGTGAATTTGGAACACGGAAGCCTTTCCGTACAATGGAATCTGCTATATGCCTGAAATGTCTTAATGTGGCTGAAGCATTCTTTGGCTGTGCCAGACAGTGATAGGTAAGGTCAACAATTTAACTCTTAGATGCTGAGAGCCCTGGAGGCATATTTGTTTATGGTTCGTTATCATGTTATTGATATTTGTCTATGTCAGCTGAATTGCTGAGGTCTGGCTCAGCATTCTAGAGCAATCTTAGATTCAAGAAGGCTGCAGATCAGACTGATTGCTGCTTTGCTCAGCTGTAGCACTTCCATCCCAAGCCCCAAGAATTTGAAACAAACGCTTCAGAACCCAAGAACTGTGTGGCTGACAACAAATGTCCAGAATCAAACACATGGAATATATTTCGCCCTGAAGCAAAAACTTTGACATTGTGCTAGTTAAAAAATAAGTCCTAAACACCTTTGGGGCTTCAAAACATTGAGTAAGCAATGCTGTTTTTCTTATGCTTGTTGTAATAAGTAACAGTAATATTCTACACATTCCTCCTATGATATTATTCTGGAACATATTCTGGAAAAGTAGTAACTTGGGATCCATGGCCTTTTGAATAGCTTATCTGTGCATAAGGCTAAAAGTGTTGCAGGGAGTGACTGAGGAAAAAATACAACATACCTCTGGAGTCGCTTGCTGTATTCTTTTCCCTTTATTGCAAAGGAAGGCACCAATTTCAGCAACTCTGACAACTTCTTGGCATGCCATTTCTCCTAGGGAACAAAAGGCATTATGAGATGACATGAGTCCCCTGCAACTCCAGTGAGTTTTTCACAGTCTTATTTTTTGCAATGGATAATTTCACACCTGGATAAATGCCTTCTAATTAAGCTACACCAAGGGATTTTTGTCTTTCTTCAATATTCTGAAATTGGAAGGAGAGGGTGTCCCCAGCAACTGAAATTATAATCAGCCTACAGAAATTTCCTTCCAATTTGTAGTTAAAATACTCAATTGCTCTCTATTTTACAAAACACATTGCAGGTCCCAATTTTCTTATTTGTTTAAAAACTAACCAGACGTTTCTTTGGAGAACTGGAGAACACAGATTGTTTTTATCTACAGCGGATTCTGGACAGATTAAAACAAATGCTATTCATCCCATCTTTCCTAAACTCAGGTCATCTTCAACTCTATTACACTGCTAAGACATTTTTTAATGCAGGTCAATGGATGACTCATTCAGTGATTAATATCTTCTATCATCCGCAACTATGCTTAAACATCCATTTCCAAACATCAAAACTACCAAAGGGCAAACAGGAGAAATCAAATTAAATAAGTGAGATTTTGGAAACCAGAATTGCCCCGGCTGTCTTCACTATTAGGAGGGGAAATGATGCTTATTGTAAGAGTTTATTCGTCACGTTCGTAACAACAGTCACACTTCAGAACGACAACGTGCACTCACAGCAGCCATGCCATTTATCTTACACTGCAAAAAGAGCCAACAAACTCCAGTTTTCTGTCAATTAATTTTAACAAGTTCCTACATTTGAACATAAAAGGTGATTTGATAAACCCTTAGGATTGCCACTTCCTCAGTATAGCCCTGTGTTTACTTACGGAAACATAGTCCTGCTTTTTTTTTTTTTTTTTAATTGTATATGTAGGAAATAGCTGCACTACTGAACACCCAACTGAAGTTAACAACTAAAATCAAACAGGCTGTCTTGCAGTTTGCATATTGTGTGCTGTTTTAGCAATTTTTCTCCATCCCATTATTATTTATTTTATTTTCATGCATTAAATACTTCTGCGCTCAGCATCTACTTCGTTAGTTTTGAGAAATGTTTCTCAACAGCAGCAGCTCTTATTCTATTTTTACCCATTTTTCACAATATTTATTTTCTGCAAACCTACTCCAATAAATCTTCATTTTGTGTTTTGCTGCCTGTTTCCTTCTCCAACTGTCACCCTGATTAATAACCTCAGAAGATGCCATAACTCACACTTATCAGCCAGGTGACTACACAGTAGGGCCCAGTCAATCAACCCAGGCCTTCAAATCTGGCATCACTCCTTACTTAACACACTCTTACCTGTTGATTTCCTAAACTGAAACGGCAGTTTGAGGCAGGAGCAACCATGCCACCCAGTTTTAGCTGTTTATGACAAAGTAGTAGATGGGGGTATGTATGTACATTTCATGCCCCAAACCTCATACAGAAGAGGCTGAGACAATGCCAGTGCTCCTACCAACATGCTTGCCTCCTTATCTGGCGGAGTTTATCATCCAAGTACCTTAATTTTTCTATCTATCTGGTTTTTATTAAATGCTGTATTTTTTAACGTGGGCATCAGTAGCGGTCAGAGACAAAAGCAATTCTCTATCACATCCAGAACAACCCAAGCAATAGGAGACTTTTTTGGTCATTTGCCTCATTCACTCCACTGGAAAACTTCTAAACATAACTCTTAGCAAGGCTATTCATTTTTAAGTACCTTAAGATAAGAAATTGACCATGTAGGAAGTAAGCAATGATTTTTATGATTTATTGAGATAAGACTAAAAATGGTCAAAGAATTGTAGATTCAGGGCATTTATTTTATGCCTTGTGGTTTCCTACTGACACTAAGTTTTCTTCACATAGGTACTAGGTCTCAAGCAACAGATATAAAGCCCTAAAATACCCCTTCAAAGATTATGTGCATTTCTGAAAATATTTTTTTTAAAGGAAAGTTACTGTAAGGATCAAGAATGTCTGTTTCTGGGCTGACTCCAGTGGCTTTCCTGGCTTTTTTCCAATGAGGTTCAAATCAGGGGTTGTTCAAACTAGCAAACAGTAGTTTTGTGGTTTAGCATGCTAAATACAAAAATTTGGGAGCTCTGCTATTTTTTAAGCACATCTTATTAACAGGGTTAAAGAGTACCCTCTCCTCTGTCATGTGGTTCAGGCTGTGCATAAACATTGCACTGACCAATAGGGGCAAATTCAGATATTTCTCAAAATGACTTGTTGCATTCTCACGACAGTTGCGATCCCAGACTGGACTGAATCCAGTGGGAAAATGTTTAGACAGAGTACTGCAGCACACAACACTCCTGAGGGATGCGCCTGTGGTATGTCTGCAATAGAAAGCAAGCTTACAGGAAGACATTAAAAAAAAATACGTCATGCTATGATTGCATGTTATAGAGTGAATGGCCTACTCACAGGGAGGGACATCCCATAGAGACCCTTAGGCAACAGAAATAGAGCATCAGGCACATGTGCAGTCATGCCTATGATCTCTTAACATCAACCATTTGGTTCAGCTCTGTATAACTCAAATATTATGACAGTCCACAACTGGAAAATAGAAAAAGAAAGGTGCACAGGAAGACCGGAAGAGGAAACTATCACTTAACCCTCTCCTCCAAGCGTTTTCCCTCCTGAGCCCTTAGATTTTGGGTCTCAAGAGTCCTTAGGGAAATATTTAGCTAAGAAGACTACACTCTTCATTTGGATGCCTCTGTGCTCAAACAGGAGAGGTAAGCTTATGCAGACTGGGAGTGAGGAAGAACAAATACAGCATGAACCTGGAAGCCGGAAAATGTTCATATCACCTCTACTATGCTGCACTAACCAGAGCACAGGAAGCAGATCAAGGGAAGTGATTGTTCCCCTATATTCAACAGCTCTACCAGCAAAGAAAAAAGACGCAGAGCCAGACCACTGTTGATCAAGATCATCACAGGGAAGCATGCCGAGAGTGAAGTGCCACTGTTACTAGGTAAAATGGGAACTCAGTGAGCAGCTGGGTTTGGGCCCCAGACACAGCCAGCCTGCTACCTAGGTAGTTCTGCCTTCACAAGTATTTCCACCTGTATTCATTACTTTTTACTTAGAGACTTTGGGCCATTCGCTGCAGAGTTATGCTGGAACAGCTGAGGTCCACACAGGGCCCCTTAAGTACAGTCAGGAGCCACACTGCATAATGGTTGGGGGCAGTGGGAGGGGTGGAGTTCGTGTCCATCCTGACTTAAAATTCTGTAATGATACTAATAGCTCCTTTGGCGTCTCAAGTATTTCAGGTAGACCTAGCTCTGCTGCCCAGTTTAGACCACAAGTTGTTCTAATCTGTGGACAGAAAGCAAAGTGGCAAAACATCTTTACTAAAATATTTCTGGCAACAAGAACCAATGAGACAATCAATGCAGAAGCACTTTCTCCCTGGCTACGATTCAGCCCCTTACAGCCTTTGCCTTCCTAATTCACAAAAGCTAAACGTAACCTATGCCACTGCTCTATTTCTTCTTCCCACTAGTGTAGAATAACGTTTACATTTTTTCCCCTTGCCTGTTGGTTTCCCCCTTGTTCTTGGGCTACAGTTGTTTGGACTGGTTCTACTTACGCAGATTTCACTTGCGTCAGTGAAGTTATCAGTATAAAACTTCTCCTTCAAAATATTTCTGCTCTCAGATCTTTGCCTTGTTTGTTCAAAGACTGCTATGCAAAGTAAGTTGTATAAACTTGTATTTTTAATCCCTTTCTCCTTCTGAGTTTTACAAATTTTTGTTCTTCCTGTTACTAGAGCAGATTGCTCTGAACAGTAGAACACATTCATATACCACAGAAATTATTCATTACGTACGAAAGTTTGGCACTTCTGTTAGAACTTCACTAAAACCACATTTTTAGAGACACCTTGTGATAATATGCTCATGAAAATCTTTTCTATCTCAGAAGACACCATGACTCAGCTTTTCTCATACTCTGTTTGAAACCTTCAGTTATATGTTCGCTATGTCAACTCAAACACTTTAGTCTCACACCTCAGATTTTAAAGGGAATGAAAAAAGTTTACTTGAATGTTACCTACAGTGTTTCAGAACCTAGAAGGTGTGAGAAACTAAACGATCAAGAAATAGTTTCTTATCTGCTACTGATCACAGGTAGCATTACAAAATCTAACTCATTATTACCAGTAAATTACTGTGTTAGAGGCAGCGCTAGTTGCTTTCATTCACATATTTGCTGTGAATGAACAAAAGATCCTTTGTAAATCAGAGGCTAATCAATAGTGAAAGATAAACAGCCAGAAAATGTAGGAATGAGTTATTAGTTCTTAAAATGTATATGTTTCATTTTATGTTTATTCTCAGATGTTTAAATTTACTTCATTTCTGAGTCCAGAGGTCAAACTGAAATTTCTTTTATTTATTTTCTCAGTGTGATGGAATAAGCAGAATGTCATGGTGTTTCTATATGACAAATCACATTAACTTACATTACAAACAATAGCTTAGACTTTATCTGAGGTGTATTTTGAAGCAGTAACAGCATAAAGCTGAGACCACTTTTCTCATAAGAACTGGGAAGCCTTTGTGGACAGCATGGCCCAAGAAGGAAGTGCTGAACTTTGAGGTCAATGGGCCAAAGGCTTCCTGGGGTGGGGGAGAAGAAAGGAAAAGGAAAACAAGGCAAGAAATAAGCAAAGACCTTTGCGCCAACAGCAGCAAAACCAAGAACATTGTTATGCTTGTCATAAAAACAGTTTCTTCAGCTTTTAGACCCTAAAGAGGATTTCGATGTTACTACAAAAATATTTAAGCCCCTGTTTAGCCTCTTCCTTTAGCATAAATGTTTAAGACACTGAACTCTTTCTCAAGAGAGGGGAAAGAGTACAGAATTAAACATTCCCGCCTCCTGGATCCACATACTATCTAAACTGCCAACTCTAGAACAAGCTATGATGGAAGGGAAATACCCTTAGCATAACATGCCAG